CCTTGAGTGAAAAGCAAGTGTAAAAGACAAGTATAGCATGGGATCTTTCTTGTTGTCCTATACACCTTTAATCATTTAATTCATACTGCATGTGTCTACCTTGACTACCACTAAGGATTTCCTAGTACTTTGTTACCTCGTACCTTGATTCCTATAGGTTATTGCATTGGGTAGTATGATGCTAGTGCTCAACTACAATCATGATCTTGTAACTTGACTAATGGAATATGCAATAAACACTAAAAGATGTTTTTTAGCAACATGGAACAAGGGGGCTAGAGCATTGGGCTGTTTTTATGGTGCTCTAAATTCTTCTCCCTAAGGACTTATCTGTAAGTGATCATCCGAGACTTACAGTATAGCTATGAGGGCTACATGGCTCTGGCTTTAGCTCAGTATGAGGACTTTTTCTAGCTTGTTAGTGGTTACTTTTATTGGCGTAAGAATGGCTTGACGAATCGGGTATAGTACGGCCTCTGTCCCTTTGTGTATAGGCTGCGCGTCATTGTGCCATCGAGAAGGGGGGCTCTACATCTGCTTGCCGAGGGAATCTAATGGTCCTAAGTTGTTAGACGAATCTTTAAAAGGCTTCATAGTGAACCCTGCCGACCTTCCTTGGAAGTGGGTCAAGAGATTAGCTACCTCGGGCGAAAAGGTAAATCACGACTTACAGTGAAAGTGTACAGCCTCTGCAGAGTGTAAAACTGGTATATTAGCCGTGCTCACGGTCACGAGCGGCCTTGAGCATTTACGGAATAGATGATCATTAATGGTTAATGATGATGAACACTGATGATACTGATGATAAAGATGCTCACTAATAAATACTGTTTATGCTATTCATTATTCATGTTTACCTGATCATGTGTTTATGGGCTTATGATAACTTTATTGCCACCCTATTGCTAAAATCATGACTCAATAAAAGCTAATCGCAGTTAAACCAGTGTCAGCCTTTTGAGCCTCATGAACTCCATGTTATATTTGTTGAATACGACATATACTTACGCTTGCTTTATTTTTCACATATTTGGAAAAAATCACGAATGGGTACTAGATTGCTAGAGTTTGGAGGAATTAAGCTTGTGATCAACAAGTCAGTTGTCCCTGTGGATTGGAGTCTTCACCCGAAGATCGGAGTTGTCTTTCCGCTGTTTGCTATCTAAGGTTATATTCTTTATACTAGGTACGTTATATATTAAGCATTGTCTATTGATATATACTAGGTACGTTATATATTAAGCATTGTCTATTGATATTACCCTTATTTGTAGCTATATATGAGAATTGACTTCCTGGGCTCACATATGGTGCGTATCTGGTTTTGTTTTTAAAACCGGGTGCTACAAATTTGCGTTTCCAAACTAGCCCTGAATGTGTGTGGGGATAGAGGTGGGGGAGTGGGGAGGGGGAGTGCATTTATTGTTTGCATCAACCTTTTAGAGGGGGGGCACACCACAGGTACACACCGAAACATATCAAGATTAGAGTGCATAAGCTATTGATGATTTGTATTATTGTCTGAATGTTCACAACAATGTTAATTAGCAAAACACTAGTAGCATATAGTTGGTTCCAAAATTAGACACTATATCAATAATTTTGGCATAAATGATAGATCAAATTTTTGTGACACCATTGGTTACTACTTGAGGACCATAGATATAATCTGATGAGGAAAAGATTTTTCTACTCCGATTTTTCACAAGGACCCAACGGTGTATACACATTTACTTTTACAGTTGAGTCACATTAGGAAAGCAAAGAAGCTTTCTTTAATTTGAGTTTATTGTTGTATGTTGTGTGTGTGTGGTGGGGGGGGGGAGGGGGGTTGTTAAATTGTTGATGGACCATGGATGGGTGTACGGTCTACAAAGATAGAGTCTAACATTTTCCAATGCTCTCAATACCTTTATACAAACTGTGAAGGCAGATATCTATGAGGAGGAAGAAGTGACAAGGCATGTTTTCCATCAGATGCTGTAAATAGGAAGTGGACTAACTCGGTGGCTCTTAGAGGTCACTTGATTAGTTTAGGGACTTTAAGGACGATTGTACCAAATGGATGGAACATTATAATGGACCGAGGAAGATGAAGATGGCATAGACATTGGCAACGGCAAAGTAGATGACATGCCAATTGACAAAGTGTGTTAGCCTAGTATATGACAACTCAAACATAGATGAAATGTTGTGTAATACAAAGCAAATATGTACTATTGAGATAAGACATGCTAACTTTAAGGCCTTTCTTGGGCCCAAATCCGCCACTGGCGCTAAGGCTGGCGCCGTGCCTCACATTGAGCCACCGCAGTCAGACCCACTGCTATCGCTGTGCCCTATGCTATGAGTGCCGCCAACGCCTATGCCTTTGCGCTATGTCAGGGCCACACCTACGCCAACCACGATGTCATGGAGAGAGGGCTGGGAGGAGAAAGGAAAAGGTATATATATATATATATATATATATATATATATATATATATATATATATATATATATGTGAGAGGGTGGGAGAGTGCGAGGCAGACCGGAGTGAAGGCCAAGATGCTGCCGGACCGAAAGTGGAGTTAAGCATATTGAATAAAAATATCGAGGATAGAGAATCATGGATCATTGTTAGGTTATATTACTAGTCAACGGTAATAATTATTTATTATTGTTAGTTGATTTTTATTATCAAGACTAATATTTTTTTATGAACTGATAGTGATACTTTTGTTACTGTTATTTCTTAAATTGTGACAGTGATGGGCCGGTAAATGTTGTTGTTACTGTAGCAGTGATACCTGGCCATCTATAGCCGATATATTCATCTCATGGTATCTGACCGTAAGCTCTAAACTGTGTACGTGTGCGTGGTTGAACTTGAAGTCAAAGAAAACCTAAAATTTGGCTGTGACGTGTCAATGTGTCATGCGGCGGCTGAACCGCCGACGATGTTGTACTACTGTGACGTTGTCGTCACCAGCTCTCCATATATATATATATATATATATATATATATATATGTTACATTCTTTGATTTCAACGTCCACTAATACTGATTAGTAGTTTCTTAATCAGCAACTAATGTCTAGTTTTTTGGCTGATCGTCATGCACCAACAAATAGTCCAAATTGAATAATGGAAACGTTGAGCCATAAGTACTGTTATCAAAGCCTTATTCCGAGCCATCTAATCGAACGGTTTCTTATACCATGTTACATTACTCGAAGTGAAACATATATTAGCAATATCTTTTTCTTGAGGATTCTCTAGTTAAATATTTTCTTCGATCACAAATTAAGTCATTTAAAACTGTCTTAAATCAAACTTTCTTATCCTGAGAATTTCTGACCGCCTTTATAAATATATATTTTCTGAGGTGGTTGTGATTCTCAGCCAGCCTTTGAAAATATTTTTCAGAGGTGGCTGACACTATGGCGGGCTATATAGCCGCCTCTATCAAAAAGACCAGGCGCTTTTACAAATCGTTTATCACTACTACGTAAAGGATTTGTAGAGGTGACTAGCCACCTGGTGGTTTTTCAACCTCCTTTAGAGATCGATTTGTAGAACTGAATCAAAACAGGAGCCGCCTCTACAATGAATTTCTCTAGGGGTGGCTGGAAACAAGAGCGAGCCGCCTCTAAAAATCGAGTTTCCAGAGGCGGCTCAAAAGTACAGTCGCATCTACAAATCATAAATCCAACCACCTCTAGAAATCTATTTTAAAGGTAGCTGGATTAGAGCCGCCTCTAAATAGGGTTATTTGTAGAGGCAGATGAAAATACAAGCCGCCTCTAAAAATAAATTTCTAGAGGTATATCTTATTTCGAAAATCATTTTTAGTGATGGATTTTGATTGAGCTACCTATAAAAAAAGAACTCCGTTGCTAAAAAATAGTTTTTGTAGTAGTGTATGTAGTATATTGTTTGGAGCCAGGGATAGAGCCTGGAATTAGACATAGCCACATAGGCGAGCATGCATGTTGTTAACAACAAAAAATCGAAACTTATATATGTATATATGCGCCCACATAGACTTCACTTTATAAAAAGATGATTATAAAAAATATGGAGGTAAAATAAAGAAACTGGAAGCAAGATAAGCATCAGGACTCGAGACACATGCCAATTTGACTTAGGATCATGCATGCAGCGGTGATCTTGACGGAATACTAAGGGCCTCTTCCCAGGCACAGGTGCATCCAGCCCCAGAACCTCGAAATCTAACGCCTAGAAGCAATCTCTGCCCCAGTCAAGATTACTAGGTCAGGAACAAACACAACCTCTAGAGCATCTCAAGAGTACCCAATATTTTCTTCCCAAAAATATGGAGTTTTACAACTCTTAAAAAAGTATTGGAAGGAACAAAGAAGATCATCTCCAAATTCCTACTCTTTATTCTTTCCATGCCCTTCCACCTTTAGATTGGTCGACAAACACGCGTAGGAAAAAAAGCGCGTAACTTTACAAGGAACGGGGTGACTTTTCTAAGTTCTAAAAGATTAAGAGTATGGATTAGGGGTTATTAAAGAGGGGGGTTTTCTCATCTTGCTAAAATCCAAGGATTAGAAAAGGCTTTAGGTAACTCTTGGAGCTCTAAGTATACAGTAAACTCACGATCTACTAGTCGACCAATTATGTGAAGTAAACTCACGATCTAAGTATTATGTGAAGTAGTAACTGCTTGACTGTGGGCAGCTCAAACTTTTAGGAAATCAAGAACTGCTGGGAGCAACATCCACGTAGGTGCTGCGCCGAGAATTCTACACATCGGCAGTCAAATTCTCCGTATCAATTGCAGTGTCGCACACGTAACGAGAGCATGCATGCAGCTGCCCGTATTCAAGAAACCGCGCGCTGCCGATCCGCGGTCTATATATACGAGCCAGCGCAGGAACCTCTTGGATCATCCGTTCGTTGATAACGCACACGGAGGAGCTAGCTAGAGATCGAGCCGGCCTAGAGCGAGGTAGACTCATCGATCATCAGTGGTTTGATCGACGACGACGATGAGGTCCAAGTTTGTTGCTGCGGTGATCTTGACGGCGGTCGTCGTCATGGCCTTAGTGGCCACGTCCTGCTCCGCGCGGCCGCTGGTGACGGGCGCCGACGCCGCCGGCTTGGGATTGGGACTGGGAGATGCCGCCGTCGTCTCCGGCAAGCAGATCCTGCAGCTTCTCGGGCGGCTTTATCTGCAGCAACTGGAAGCGGAGCCGTCGTGTCAGACCAACAGCTCCAACGGTGGATGCCCACCACCGTCATCAGGCTAGAGTATATATAAACACTAAACAGCATATGCAGTTGACGTCACGTACGTGTCCATATTATCAGATACGCGTTTTTAATTAAATTTCCTTTCATGAAGAGCCATATAGCCAGGTTGTAAACCCCTTTTGTACCTTTATTTCTCTTATTTCATTATATTCGTTTGTGTACATATTCATATGTAACGCGTGCAGTGGCATTTCCATATATAAACGAACATTCACTTGTGAGTTGTGATGAGGACAGCAAAGGACTTTTCTCATGCTCTAAGTAGTAGCATTCGTGCAAGACACAACTTTTTTTAGGTCGACTCTTGCTACATATATAGTATATATTATTTGATTCTTTGATCAGTCAAGACGACGGACTGTAGGTTTTGTTAGCTTGTCTACTTAACAGGTTGAGCTGGTTCACGAGCCTCCAAGCCCACGTGAGAATCAATATGGCCGGGTAACCATAGAGACCATGAACTTTAACGCTAATATTCTACTCCTTCCGTTCCAAATTATATGTCGCTTTAACTTTTTTAGTTCATCCATTTTGCTATGTATCTAGACATATTATTTATCTAGATGCATAGCAAAATGAATATACCAAAAAAGTCAAAGCGACTTATAATTGGGAACAGAGAGAATACTAGCAATGTATATATAATAAACAGCTTATTTCCCTCACAGAGTAAAAGTGAAATTGATGGTCGGATGAAAATAATAACTGTAAATTTTTCTGATTGTTGGGAACTATTTTGAGATTTTACAGGTTTAGGGTCGAAATGAAAATGAAAATAATTACTGATGAAATGGAAACATACTATAAAACTAATAAAACGAAAATGAAAGCAAAAATAATCTTTTAGGTGTTTCAGATCGTTCACCAAGCATGATTACCGTTTTGGGTCGGTATACCGTGGTAGAAATAGAAACCAGGGGTGGAGACGGCTTGGAATCCAACATAGGGGGCGTCACAAACAACAAGCAAAACAGAACCAAGTTTGATTCACCGATCTTATAGTTATAACCATACATATTAGGGCAATAATGTTATGCAAAATGCGAATCATTAAGATTACATCTGTATTAATTTAAACTTAGTTCTATGAGTATCGGCAGGATCATATTCATTAATGATGTCATCATTACTAATCTTTTTAGCCAATGCCTTCTCAATATAAATTACCAAACAATCTCGTGCAAATCCATCTCCCATTGTAGTTCGAAGACGTGTCTTCATAACCTTCATTCCTAGAAAGATTCTCTTGACAGTTGCGGTTGATATTGAAAGAGTTAAAACCAATCTTAACAACTTGTCCACCATTGGATTGATATTGAAAGAGTTAATTCCAATCTTAACAACCTGTCGACCATTGGGTACAATGAACTTTTACCAGTCTTGAATAGTCCACTTGTTAGATCAGCAAGTGATGGTAATTCTCTTAGTTCTGGATGGTTGCACATCAATCTTAAAATGTGGGAGTTATGCATTTGTTTGTTTTGTGATTTTAATCTATACGTTTCCCAAACCTCATGAGTCATGTACATGCGCAATTGCATAGTCAGTCTTCATGAAATAGAGTATAGATGTTCTGGATGGTTGCATACATCAATTCTAAAATGTGGAAGTTCGCATTCTAATTGGGCTCTTTCTTGACTTGAGAAATCAGCTGGATAATATTTTTCCACTGGACTGCATGTATTTTCTATGTCGAATTCCTCCGTCCTTGGATCCAAAGAGCCACAAAGGGACAAAAGCTCCATCGCTTGAGAGCTGAATCGATCTTCTAACTCTATCGCTTGCTGATCTATTGCAACACTAAACACATCCACTTTGTAATGGTGAAAGGCTGTGGAGTTATCATTCTTGTTTCGAGATTTAGTCACATGCTGCATATAGGAAGATAGGTTATTAATGGACAAATAAGTATATTTTTCATACTAAAATAATTCTGGAAAATAACATATTTCTTACTTAGATCTGGGATATCAACCTCATGCTTCTCGCAAAACAATTTGACCTCTTCAAGAAGAGGTTCCCAGCCATTATTTCGTAACTCACCAAGCAACACTTTTGTGGTAGAAACACAATCCACTGCATTTAGGATATCAATGGATTTCTTTTTGTAGTGTTTGGCACAACACATCAGTGATCTTCATAATCTTTTCCATCATAAGCAAGCACGATGAACACAAAATCAAATGTGACAATGATTTGTAAGGCACCACTAGCATCACCCCTAGAATACTTCAAAACTGAACGATCATTAGCAATGTTGCGTAGGACTAAAACTGTGGCACCAAACATCTTCTTTAAGCTTTGAATTGACCTATAATGGGAACTCCATCTAGTGTCCCCTGGCCTCTGTAGCGAGGACATCTGATTTGCCCCTCGCCCTATGTCAAGTTCTCCCAACTCAATTTCACGAGAAATATCCTTGGCTTGATTTGCTAGCAACTCATCGTTGCGCTTGGTAGAAGCACTAACAACATTTATGATGAAATTTGCATGCTGAAAAAAATTGGGCAGTTCATGTACCTCCCCATATGCTACTACAAGGGCTGGCAGGAGTTGATGGGCCATGCAATGAATATAATATGCATATAAGGGCACTCATTAAGAATTAGAGCTTTCAAACCATTCCACTCCCCTCGCTCTAGCTCGCTACGCACCACTCCCCCATTGCTGCGCACCATGCCCCGTCCCCCGTGCGCAGCAAGGTGCTGCTGGGGTTCTGCCGAGGTGCTACTGATGCCGTCGTTCCCCACCAGAAGGTCATGGCCGCTGTCGAAACCGTTGCCGCTGCGATGCACAACCTCAGCAAGGAGATGTTGCGATGAAAGCGCGTATTGCAAGTGTATGTTTCAAGTGTTTCAGACGTTTCAGATGTATGTTGCAATTATTTCATATGGCTGTTGTAAAAGTAGATCGGGGATGTTGCATATGTTGCAAGTGTTTCAGAGGAATGTTGGAAGTGTTTCAGAGGTTTGTTCAAAATGTTTCATCCGTTAGTGACGTATGTTGCAAATATTTTGATTTGGATGTTGCATATGTTTTACACATATGTTGCAACAATATGTTCGAAATGTTTTAGCTGTTTGAGTCTTATGTTGCAGTAAATGTTTTCATGTTGCAAGTTGCAAATGTTGTATCCAAATGTTTCATATGTTTCATACATATGTTGCAAGGGTATGCTACAATGTTTCATCTGTTGCATACGTATGTTGCATTCAAGTGTTTCATATTGCATATCTTTCATGTTGTTCGGAGAGTCTGGGGCGCGGGGAGTGATGGTGGCACGGCGCGGGCACTGGGGAATGGGGCGCGGCGAGCTAGGGGTGGCAGATGGGGCACGCAGCGCGCTGGTGTTCGGGGCCGGCGGTCGGGGCGCGATTGGGGTAGGGTGCGAGTGCGGGGTGGGGCGAACTGCCTTGAATTGAGGCGGATAGGGTGGGCTGCGACTGGGCAAGGTGCGCGTGCGGGGTAGGAAAAATCAGTGGACGGGCAGGCTGCAGGGGGGTCTGGACGCTCGTGTCCATCTCGACATCCCGGCGCTAGCACCTCTGCTTTGTCAAAGATGATATAAGAAAAAAAATATTCTATTACATATCACATAAATTATGCTATATAGAGGTAAAATAAAGAAACTGGAAGCAAGATATGCATCAGGACTTGAGACACATGCCAATTTGACTTACCCTCATGCAGCGGTGATCCTGACGGAATACTAAGTATACAGTAATGCAGCGGTGATCCTGACGGAATACTAAGTATACAGTAAACTTACGATCAATTTGGTGAGCTAGAGTATTATGTGAAGTAGTAACTAGGTTGGACGAGATCCACGATGTTGTGGCAGAATTGACAACGAATACCGCGGGAAATTGAGAAAAGTACTTGAGTGTTGGCCGGACATGGATTACAAAATTAAAGATTGTAACAACATAAGTTATGTTATGTGTACTACTGTACAAAATTAATTTATTTTGTTTAGCACTTATATTCTCTATGTTTGTTTTTAGATTCTACTACCATATTATCAAAGCAGACTGTACATTTTATTTATAATGGACATGGAAAATAAAACCGTGCACATTATGGACCCCCTTCAAGATGGTCTATGTTTCAAGGGTTATGATCAAACAATGGCTTATATATCTACGTTCCACACAATGGCTAGAATGTTCAGTCTCGTCATGGGGCTATCAAATTCTAAGTGGAACAGTAATATTTATGACTGGAAGAAAGAATACCCTACATGTGTAACAAAGGTTACACATAATAAATACTGGTAACCAGTTGTAATATATTTCACCTGTTATATCACAAAAAAATTTATTTCATTTATTTACATCAAATAAACAACTGATCTTGTCCACGAAACTGGAAGGCTTTCTTGTATACAATTTCATGAAGTTCTGGGACAGCGAAAGATTACCACCGATCAACAATGTAAGCATATATAGTCTCTAGCTATATATTGTACACTACATAGAAAAACAGTAACTTATTGTTAATCTATATACCATGCACAGCTCTCAACTTCACTGATGATGAAATTCTTGGTAGACGTTTTGGCGAGTCGTGCAAACGAATATTCCGACAACATCCCTGAATATCTTCAAGAGATGATTAAGGAGTTAAGCAAAATGTAACTTAGATGGTCATAATATTAGAAAATTATACGTAGACTCAAGTACAATTGTTTTTACATTAGACTATGCAAAAATAATTTTATTGTTTTAAGAGACATTCTTAAGAAAAATCCATAACGTTAGCATGGGCATTATACTAGTGTGAAGTAGTAACTGCTTGACTGTGGGCAGCTCAAACTTCTAGGAAATCGAGAACTGCTGGGAGCAACATCCACGTAGGTGCTGCGCGGAGAATTCTCTACACATCGGCAGTCAAATTCTTCGTATTGCAGTGTCGCACACGTAACGAGCTTGCATGCCGGCCGCATTCAAGAAAACCGCTGCCGATCTGCGGCCTATATATACGAGCCAGCTGAGGA